TCTTTCAGAAACAACGGCTGAGAGTAAACTAATCTCTTCAACTCTCTTTGAACTTCTTTGAATTTTGCATTGGTGTAGACTTGCTGAAATTGCTTCTCAAAACCATATATAGTTAAGCAATCAAACAATTTGTGTCGCGACTTGAAGTCTGTTTTCTTCTCTTTCTGTACCTTACTTCTCAAGGCATTGTCATATTGTTTAACAAATTGCTTCAATGTAGTCTTTGGGTTTACATATCCATCAAAAAATGCATTCATACTTGCACTTCGCTGTGTAGTTGACATGCCAGCCCAAAAAATGTCTTTAACATAAACAAGCACCCACCGATGCTGCTCATCATATAATACCCCCAACCACTCATTACCATAAAGATTGAATGTTGCAAGCATTTCTTCCCATTTATTCTCAAATTCAACTCTTGTCAAACAGTCATAAACTGTATTTTGCATAGCCAACTTTATGGCTTCATACTAAGCATATCCTTTTAACTTCTCCGAAATTTTCTTCATGATGTGTCGTAAGCACCATCGATGTCGAGCTTGTGGAAAGACAATTTCTATAGCATTTTGCATAGCTCTGCACTGATCAGTTATGATAGCTTTTGGAGGTTGACTTGACATGCAACTTAACTACAACTTGAATAACCAAACAAATGTGTCAGTGTCTTCACTAGATAACAATCCACAACAAAGCAAAATGGACTGTCCATGGTGATTAACTCCTACAAATGGAGCAAATGGCATGTCATATTTGTTCGTTAGATAAGTTGTGTTAAATGAAACAACATCTCCAAATGCTTCATAAGTCGTTTGACTCCTTGCATCAGTCCAAAACAAGTTTCTAATGCGAAACTCCTCATCAACATCAATCATATAAAAGAATCTCTCACTATGTGCTTGCATCCTCATAAAATAACTTTGAAGTGATTCGGTATCGCCTTCCCCAAGCCTCAATCTTTTAGCTCTCTCAATGTAATTTCTTGCATCTTGCTCATCAAAAGTCAAAGACTCATATCCCCCGCTTCAGCAACCATTGAATGAAAGTTCCTAGACACCCCTATCCCTACTTGATCATTAATTTCTAATTTTCTCTTTACAAAAGTAAGAATTTTCTTATCCATTGCAAAATGACGTGAGTCGATGGGAATCAAATCATGATTATGCTCAAGATTAACTGTGGTTGGTTTATATCTCCCATCCTTTTGTACACTACCTCGTACCCTTGCTTTACAACCAATTTTTGTAGACAAAGATGGCTTTAGAGGGTTGACTTCTGATTTCTTTTTTCTCTCCCCCACTCGAGAACATTCAATTGCAAAGTTTTTTAATTGCCCATTATCTCCAAAATATTGTGCTCTATGAGCTATAGAATATCCAACATGCTTAGCATATTTTCCATAAAATGCGTACACCTCTTCCCTTAAGCTAAAACACTTACCATTCTTAGGTTCTTCAACTTCTTCACCCTCATTTACTGAACGATTGTCACCAATATTTGAATCAACCTCCATTCATCCACTTTGCATAATGAAATAATAATTAAATGATTTCATAATGATTATATAACACAATGCCCAAATAAACACAATGAATCAGATCCCTAACACAATGCCCAAATTGAGGACAAATATTGATCTGAACAAATATCAGCAAATGGAAATTATGTGACTATCCTCAACCCCAAGTGACTATATTCAAATTTCAGATTATGTGACTATCCCCAACCCTTTATCATATAATGGCGCTGTTTGGGAATGATGATTTAAGGCTATTATAGCCTAAATTGCAAAACTAGCCCAAAAGTAAATACTGTTCATAATTTTCCAAAAAAAAAAAATAAATAAATAAATTTATAGGCTGCAGCCGGGCCACAGCCGAAAATTGTAACATCATGGGCTAAATTACCATTTTGCCCCTTTACAACAACTTAAATCTATAATCCAACAGTTACACCAAACAGATTAACAACTTCTGATTAAAGTCATAATCTATAATCTGTTAAGCTATAAGCTATAATCTGTTTTAACAGCTACACCAAACAGCCCCATTGTTTATTTACTGTATTGGCTTCCGCCAGGCCCCTGTACTCTGTTCTACTGTATTACTGTTAAGCAGGCCTTCGGCAATCTTGGATTACTGGCCGGTTACGATGCTAAACCCATAGAGGCGGGTTTGGGTCGTGACACCTTTATCATATAATATTTGTTCAAATTGATTTTTAGGGAATGTCCAAAATGAGTTACTTGGGGAATGTCCAAAATGACAAATTTCAGATTTCAGATTAGTCATATATGGAACTGATTTTTAAGGAATGTCCAAAATGAAAAATTTCAGATTAGTCATATAAACTTGATTTTTTAGGGAAAGCTTATAGGAAGTTAATAAAATTGATTTTTTACCTCATAAACTGCTATAGGAAGTTATGTTTTGCTTAACTACTATTAGTGATTTCTTACTTTGAGAGCTAGGGGAAATGGTTTACCTCATAAACTACCGATCCAAAGTACGTTTGAGGCAGAGACAGAGACGGAAAGTGAGACCCAGACGCACAGCTGAAGATTGATGAAAGCGACAGACAAAGATACAGCCAAAGATAAAGAGTGACAAACAGAGGATAGCCAGAGTTCCCAGAGTGCTATGGCCGTCGTCGATGGCGGAGAGCTACGATGGAGGAAGAGGAGGAGGATGGCCGAGAGCTATAACGGCGACAGGTGAGAACAGACGAGGGAAGATGGCAGAGAGCTATGACAGCGACATGTTTGGATTCTTGTTATATCCATCTTTTGTTTTTTTTTCTCTTTTATTATTATTATTTTTTCCCTCTCACAACTTGCATGTGTACACCCATCCTCTACATCAGCTACCAGCTCACTAGGAGTTTGGGGTCAAGTCCCACTGGGGTCTATAACGGAATTAAAATAAATCTAAAAAGCTGAAAGTAAGCTGAGAAGGCATCCAAAGCATGTGCTAATGCCTAACAGTGTGGCATGAGTTGGCCAGCAACACTACCGTATTGGATGTCCTCACTCATCATTTACATCTAAAATTTTGACAAAGAGTCTACAAACCAAGAGACAAAATTCAAGTCTCACCCTCAAACAAACTATCATCATCGATTACAACCTTTTTTTTCTTTTTTTTTTTTCCTTTCTTTTCTTTTCTTTTCTAATTTAAGTTCATAAAATTGACAAGATTTCATAAATTTTATTGATAAAATCTAAATTAAACAAAAAAAAAAACAGAATTATTTATTTATATACATTCTATATCCAGTTTCTTTATGGGATCTCTTTTATGTATTTTTAAGGAAGAATCACACTTCCGTGCTAATTTTAAAAAATAATTATTGATTAATGAAAAAACTTATGACTTTATACTTTAATATATAGGTGAATTATACTAACGATTCTTATAGTTTGAAGTTTGTGTCACTTTGATATCTGACTTTTTAATTGTCACATATTTGATCCTGAATTTTAAATATTATTAAAAATAAGAACAATTGAAGATATCATTACTTAATTTTAAAGATAAAATCGTTAATTTGATAAAATATAAACTAGTTTGACAAAAATAAATGTTAAAAAATATTTTTGAATTTCTTAAAATTATTTTTATCCATTAAAAATAAAATTCTGTAAAATTGATAAATCTTTTAGACATTTATTTTTTTTACCAAATTAACTTTTATTATGTGATTGGGTAATAATCATATAATGGATAGTTGTTTTTATTTTTATTAAATTAGTTTTTATTTTTTCAAAAGTCAAATATGACGACAATTTTGATATCATTATTAAACTAATTTCTATTAAATCAAAAAATTCAAAACTAAAACCATTTTATATATTAAATAGAATAATCTCTCAAAACAAACACACTTTTTGTTGTCACATACATATTCATTTTTAGTTTGATACATACATATTCATTTTTTTTATATAAAGATGTTATTTGATGAACAAGTTATTGATATCTGATCAATTTAATTTTTTACAGGTATATTGTTCTTGATATTTTCTAAATTTTCAATGATTCAGATCATTAAAATAGGACTCCAAATGAGTTTCACACTATGAAGCATGGACACTCCAAAATCAGTGCCATGGCGGTGTCCGACACGGGGACACGTACGGGACGTGTCCCTTTAATTTAATGATTTTTTTGTAGGGGACACGGCAGGGACACGCGTGTCCATATGGGGACACGGTAGGGTTTTTTTTTTTTTTTTAAATCTTTTGCCTCTCTTATTTAGTGCTTTTATGAAAAATATTGTTGGATGTTGAATGTTTTTCCCTTCTCGTCTTAATTCTTGTTATCGTTTATTATGATTTTTTTGTGAATTTTTTTTGTGAATAGATGATCTATTAATTTGTTTAAATGTAATGGTTATGTTTATTTAATTAATGTTACTATGTTAGTGTTTGTTAATTTTAATTTAGGATGACTGTAATATGAATCTACGTAACACAAAATATATAAAATAAATAAAATAAAATTTGCCGTGTCCCCCGCCGTGTCCGTGTCCCCATTTTTTAGAAATTGTCGTGTCCCGTGTCTGTGTCCGTGTCCGTGCTTCATAGGTTTCACGGGCCGCACAACAATCATTGTTATGCTTCATGCACAGTAATCACACTGGCTCCGCAAAAAATAGATAAGGTGTTATGACAACTTATAATAATTTTTTTAACTTTTTAATTAAAATGTATAGTTAACCGGCGATATAAATTATACCATATTTGGTATAAATTATTACAAGCTAAAATTGATAATTAAAAAGAAAAAGCTAAGAGCGCACTTTTATATTTTTAGATAATTAATTTTTTAAAGATATTTTTATCTAAATAAATCATAATTAAAAAATGTACCAAACAGTTTTAACACAAATTCCCACATTAAAATAAACTATAATAGAAAGTGATGAGATTTCAATCAATTGATTCACATTTTTATACCCATAAAAGCCCCAAGAGCAGAAGATTGATCATTGAACTCAATCCATGAAATGAAATGTAAATGTATAATAAACTCAATATATCACATTGATGTTGACATTGTATACTTTTCAGAGAAATTAATTCAAACAAATTCATCTAATCACCATCAACAACCATCGCAATCCAAAATCAATCTTTTAATTAAATTCATCACACCTGTGTCTAATCTCTCCATTCTGTCCAGTCTTCACACCATAGACGCTTAGCTTCTCCATTGCTCGACCAAATGCCTCAAAGAACTCAGTCTGATTCGCAGCGTACTTCTCCACAAAAGTCCTCGTCCTCGGATCCGAAGACAGCCCTCGATCTGACGCCAAAAGACCCAATCCCCTAGGCAAGTTCTGATAATACATGTTGTCGAACTTGTTCGGAGTCATGATATCGTTGAACACCGACAATGTGGGGTTTCGATGATAATCAGCACAAGCTTGTCTCAACCCATCAGCGAATCGAGGGTTGTAACTCGGATCAGACATTGAACTCGGATTCATGGTGTAATTGTAGATGTTTGTGCTGAACTCCTTACAGTGAGAGAAGCCAATTGTATGAGCACCACTCAAAGCCACCATTTCTCCAATCGAGAACCCTTTAGATGAAAAAATGTTGATGATCTGAGTCATAGACATTGTGGGTCTGGGAAGATTACCTTCGACGAGGGTTGATTTGGAGACAAGCCCATCTCTGCGGCCTAATAGGACATTGTAGTAAGGACCACCCATCATGGTGAGGAGATCGCGCGCAGCAACGGCGAGAATGTCGGCGCAAGAGACGACGCCGGGGCAGGAGAGCTCGAGAGCGGTCTTGGCACGAACGACGACGTCGAAGGCGTCGCCGGGGAGAGAGAGGTTGATGTCGGCGTCGCGCTCGGCGGTGTTGAAGGGGGTGGAGGAGATGAGGACGGAGGCGTCGCAGCCGGAGACGAAGGAATCGTGGAAGAGGAGGCGGAGAGTGGCGGCGGCAGTGGTGGGGGAGGTGATCTGCTTGTTGGTGATGGTGTCTTGCATGATCTGGCTGAATCTAGGACATGAGTTTTGGTAGTAGTCGAGGGACAGGTGCTGTTGGGAGTGGGAGAGTGTGAGGAGAGACAGAGATGAGAGAGAGAGAAAGAGAAGTAAGGGTAATGCCATGATGGTTTTGTTTGTTTGTCAGAGCTGGTACGGGTACTGGTGCTGCTGGTTTCTCTCAGGTTTTAGACAGAGAAAACAGTGCTAGAGTGAGGGAGGAGGAATTTAGGGGTAGGGGGGGAAGAGAGGGAGAGAGGGCATTAAAGAGAGAGAGAATGAGGGGTTGCTAGGGAGGGTTTTTAGTGGGAGGAAGAAGAAGACGAGAGAGAGAGAGAGAGTGAGAGAGAGAGAGGGAAGACGGGGGCCAGTGTGATCAGCACAAATCACGGGATGTCTGCTGGGAGGTGGGGGCGGTGGGAATAGCGCGGTGGATTGGGGTGCGGCTTTTGAAGGATCAAAAAATTGGGTTAGAGCATCTCCAGTAAGGCTAGTTAAAATAGCTATTCAAAATTTCACTTTACTATTTTAGCTAGTCATTTTTTTAATATACACTCCAACAAGGCTATCTACTTTAGCTATCTTCTATTAAAATATTCTTATACTTTAACTACCTTCTTTCCAATCTAAAAAAAAAAAAACTAACTTCTTTCAAATTATTATTTTTTTCATTCTTCTAAATATAATTATATTTTTGTGAAAGTTACATTTTTCTACTATCGTATTTTTCAAATAGTCATATTTTTTCAACGGTCATATTTTTGTAACCACCAAGGATCCTCTAGAGTGAAATTTCCCTAAAGTTTCCTAAAGTGCTACAGTGTATGGTTGAGATTTATTGGCAAGTCACATCAATTTTTCTGATGTGACTTGCCAGTAAATCTCAACCATACACTGTAGCACTTTAAGAAACTTTAGAGAAAAATCACTCTAGAGGATCCTTGCTCTTTTGTAACGGTCATATTTTTACAAGGGATGTCTGCTGGGAGGTGGGGGCGGTGGGAATAGCGCGGTGGATTGGGGTGCGGCTTTTGAAGGATCAAAAAATTGGGTTATACTCCGCTTGGTTTTGCGTTTCGGTTAATTTTAAAATGTTTTGTAAGAAGAAAAAACTCTTTTTTGTGTTCGAATTATAATTTCATACTTACATTTAAATGTTATATTTGAATTAAGTTTTTAAAAATTAATTTAAAAATTATATTTTAATACATCTTTTTTGTATTTTGAATTTGCAGATTCGATCTATTCAGTCGTCTGTTCAGACATTCCCAAATGACTTGTCAGTCGACTAGAAATATATATATATATTTTACAATTGTAACTTCTTATTTAAAAACAAAAAATTTATATTTATTTTTGATATTGTTTAAATATATAAATTATTTTTTAAGATTTTTTTTAAACAAAACAATCAAAAAAATTCTAACCAAATATATAATCAAAAGTAATTTTAAAGCACTAGCTGAATATTTTTTTAACAAAAAATAATATATTTTTATATTTTAAATAAAAAATATTTTCATTTTTCAATTTTTTAAATAAAAAAATTATTTTTTTCAATAATTATTTTTTTAAAAAAGGGTTTCATTATAAACTTTAAATAGAATCTTCAATAGGATTTTGAGTTGTGTATTTGGTTATAAGTTAGAAGATTTTGAAATAAGTTTTTAAAACTCTTTTGAAAACTCATAACTAAACAATTTTTCTCATTTCAAAACTCAGTTCAAAATTTAAAACTCATAACTAACCAAATTTTTTCTTTTCAAATCATGATTTAACAACTCACAAGCTCAAAATATAACTTCATTTTCAAATTATACTTCTAAAACTAAACCAAACAGAGTTTGCTTTGTTTTTTGATTCTTTTTTTATTGTGAGGGATTTAAATTATGTACGTTTCTAGAGAAGAAAGTTAACAAAAATGGTAGTACATGACGATTGGTTTCATTTGAATATAGTTTAGTTAATCAAATTTTTAAACAATGTAATTCTATTATAATATGCAGGCAATCATAAATTTTGAGGGCTTTCTTTATTTTACTATTGTAATTGCATTAGACATTTTCTTGCCATTTAACCCTAGAAATCTCTTTGGTCAAGTCAAAGCCAAGGGCTCTCTTCCATTTAGTTTTTAGAATTTATTTTTTAAGATCATTTTTTTTTTAGATTTTATATCTTGAACACATTTCAAAAATTAGATTCATGAAAAAATAATTAAATACATTACCTTAGTGTTGATTTTAAAAAAAAATTATCTAAAAAAATTATTATACAAAGCGATACTGAGAGAGAGGAAGTGTGAGGTAAAATATTAGAGTAAGTTAAACAGATATACTAAAATAATTTGAAAAAATAATTTTATTTTTCAGTTTTTAAAAACAACAAAGCAAAATAAAAGAAAAATTATTAATTAATTTACAGACACCGCATGATCAGGACAGAATTAGGGGAAGAGTATGGGTGCCTTGGCCTTTTGTTTTTGTGAAAATTATTATTTGTCATAGAATTTAAAAAAAAAAAGATATAAGATTTTATACATAAAATAGTCTCCTAATATGAAAAAAAATATATGTTATTTTTCTTTTATCTTGAATTCTCTTTTTATTTTATATCAAAAACTCCTTCATCTTATTAGAAATTACTTTATTTATTTTCAAACAGTTTAATTTCTTTTACTACATATTTTAGTTAAAATATCAAAAAATCATTACCTAAACCATGATTAAATTCAAATGAGTTCATCTGCTTAAAAGATGGTACATTTTAACACATTTTAATAAAATTCTTAAAATTTATCCATGGTTTTAAAAATATTGGAGACATGTGATCCACGCGCCGTGAAAAATATCGTTACGGTTTTAAGAATTCTTTATTTCCAAAGTAATAATTAATGACATATATGTTAGGTTATTATGTGATGTCAACATTTTTGTTTTAAAATATTATTCAATTTGTTTGGTTTTAATTTTTTAAATTTAATATTTTAAAATTAATTTTTTTATTTTTATATTTTAATAAATATTTTTAAAATTTTAAATAACTTTTTAAATTTTTTTATATACATCTTAAGATATATGTAAATAGTAAAACATTTATATAAAATTATTTAAAATAATTGATAAATACATAAAAATGAATTTTTATGTATTTTTAGTATTTAGTGAATTTTTTAAAAAAAAATTTACAAATATTATACTTTTTAAGTGTATTTATATTGTTGTTTGCGGTATCCTAAATAAATGTACTTTTTGTCTTTTTGGACTACAAAGTTGAGAAAAAAATATGGATGTTTGGGTTAACTTTTTGACTTTTTATGAAAAAAATGTGTATTAAAAAATTGTATAAAGAAGCATGTAGGAGAAGATTAGAGATGTGTGAGCCACAGCCTACAATCTAAACAACCGAATTGATGGTAATAAATTATTAGCTACTTTTCGGGCATTGCACTGGACGATTTTGTTCGGCTTGTGGGGGTCATCACTAATCCCATTTTGATGATCTGAACCGTCAATGTGTAAAACTCGTTGAGTACTATATGCCTATAAAAATCACGTTGATCGGATATCGATAGCTATCTAATCAGATTTGTTTTTTTCCAATCGTTAATTATAACACCAACTATTTTTTTATACAAAACTGATTTGACCATGTAGTTATCGATATTCGATTAATGTGATTTTTTACAGACATATAGTACTCGACGAGTTTTACACATTACAATTCAGATTATCAAAACGGGATCCGTGATGGGCCTCTACAGGCCAAACACCAGTGTGTGAAAATTGCACCAAAACTGTGTAATTTTTCTTAACAAAGGCTGCACAGCGCCAACGATACATGATTGCTAAGTTGTATAGATGTGTGAAAAATTAATTTTTTAATATTTTTTTGATAAATAATGATAACTTTTTAACTTTTTGAGTATCTTTTTGACTTTTTTAAGAGATGCCAAACTTAGTCTTAGTATGTCTAACAATTAAAAAATTACTTAAAATATTACATTAAGATGAGATCTATACAATTACCACATCATTAGAGCAGACTGCTCTAAAGTTCTGAAGCATTTTTCTTGAAATAAATATAGCTGGTTTGATTTCACATTATGAGTTGGTTTGAATGTGGGTTGATTTTTTAACTATTTTAGTTTGAGATTAAAAAGTTTGTTTGAGATAATTTTTTAAATTTTTTAACTCTTGTGAGAAAAAAATAAAATGATTAGAGCTTAGATATAATATTTTGTCATATTTAACTAAAACAATTTACTTTTGTCCTATATAATTATTTTAATTCCAACTGTTATCTCAAACGGGGGCCTATGATTTACTTTTTAAAAGACCTAGTTTTTTTAATATTTTAAGTAATTTTTTTTTAATTTTTATATACATCTAATATAAATACACTAAAAAAATATAATATTTATGAAAAAAATATTTTAAAAATTGACTAAATATCAAAAATATAAAAAAAAATACGAAAATGCAGCACATTTTCATATTCTTGTGTATTTATTGATTTCTTAAAATATTTTTTTATAAATATTCTACTTTTTAAATAAATCAAAGTAAGGTGCATCTAAAAAAGTAAAACAAATTACTTAAAATTTTACAAAAATTTACTAAAAATAAAAAATACAAAAAAAATAAAACACTCAATTTTCAAGAAATTGAATCCAAAAAATTGAAACCAAACATTGATTTGTTTATTGCGGATTTGGATTTTGTCAAGTTAGTTTTTAATTTTTCAAACAAAATTCAAAAGAAAAAAAATTAAAAACTCCAATCAAATAGAATTCATTTTTTTCAATAGAACAAATTGGGAAAGCAAACACTCATTGGAAAAGTACGTTAAATTTGGGTTATTTTAAGAAGATAGTTATAATCAGTTTTTTGGTAAAAAGTTGTTTGTAAGTAACTTTTTTGTGAGAGATGAAGTGGGTTATAATCTAGGAAGTGGATTATTACCCACTTCCCAAAATATGTCATGGATTTGGAGAGAGATTTAAGAATGAAAAGAAAAAAATTGTGTGAAAAGTATGTAAAATATAATTATATTTTACTTATACTTCACTTATCTTTTTTTTCTTTCTTTCTTTTTTTTTTTTTTTTTTCTATTTCCAAATCTCTCCCCAAATTCATTAACTAAATATAGCCTTAGAAAAATAGTCAGTGTGCTTGGTTTCAATTTTCTGAATTCAATTTTCTGGAAATTGAGTTTTTTGTTTTTAGAAAATATTTTTAAAATTTTAAACAATTTTTTTACTTTTTTAGATGTACCTTACTTAAATGTATTTAAATAGTAAAATATTTGTGAAAAAATATTTTAAAAAATTAATAAATATAAAAAATGTACTAAATGTTCAGATATATATATATATAT